TGCTGCTACTGCTGCGGCTGTTGCTGGCGGTGGTGATGGTGAGGACGACGATTGGGCCTTGCGATGGCTCTCAACCTCGCCCAGAAGCTCAGCCAAGCGCAGAATCCGTGATCCACATGCGGCGGCATCGGGAGGAGTGGGAACGATTGACTGGATCTGCTTCCCCTGCTTCTGCTGTGCCTGCTGTAGCTGCTGCAGCAGCGGCGCTTTCTGCCCCTGCTGCTGCTGCTGCTTCTGTTCCTTCGCCTGCTTTCCTTGCTGCTGCTGGGTGAGCAGCAGTTTCCCCTGCTTTGCCTGCTGCTGCGCCTGCTGCTGCTTCCCCTGCTGCTGCGCCTGCTGCTGCTTGCACCCGCCCATACCAAGCGAGGACGACAGAGCCACAAGCCACGCGGGCGCACCCGGGCATGCTGACGCAGGGGCTGTAGCAGCAGCTGTAGAAGCTGCAACGGCTGTAGCGGCTGTAGAAGCTGCAGCGCCTGTAGGGGCTGTAGCAGCAGCAGCAGCAGCTGTGGCATCGGCTGTAGATGCTGTAGCAGCAGCTGATGATCCAGCCGCAGAGCTGCCACCACTACCAGTGCCACTGGCACTGGCACTGGCATTCACACCACCGCCACTACCAAACCCAGTTGACCCCATGAGGGCTCCAAACAGAGACCTGGCTGCAGCAGCCGCAGGGCAGGCAGCAGTGCTGCGGGAGCGACAGGAGAAGGAGGGGAGGGACGGGAGCAACGAAGCGGGCTTTTCAGCAGCAACCTGTTTTGAATCCCGAGGTAAAATATGGTCTTGAGGCAAAGTGTGGTCCTGAGGTGAGGCGGCTGCTTGCTGAGGGGAGACGGGGTAGACTTGCCGGGCAGGCGAACAGCACTGCTTCTTTGCCGGCCGGCATGGCTCGGCGCCGAGCCTCGACAATTCTGTGCCGAGCCTGGAAGAGTCCCCGCCGGGCCGGCTAGGCTCGGCGGCAGATGCTGCCTGGGGCGATTTGGTATCAGTGCGCAGGGTGGCTGGATAGGGGCGGAACGCAGAGGCAGTTGGGCGAGAGGAGGAGGAGATAGAAGTAGGGGGGGCGAGAGAGACAGGGGCAGGGGCAGAGATAAGGGCAGAGATGGAGACAGGAACAGGGACAGAGAGAGGGACAGGGGGGGAGGCAGAGACGGGGGGGCCTTGGAACGAAAGGGATGCAGCAGAGGCAGGTGCTGTGGGTAGCGCCGGCACGGGTTGTGTCGGTAGATGCATGGAAGAGGGTGGATGCGATGGGAAAGCAGAGAAAAACGCGCCAGTGGCAGCAGCAGCAGCACCAGTACCAGCACCAGCGGGAGCAGCAGCAGCAGCAACACTAGCGGCTGCAGCAGCAGCGGGCGCTGCAACTGCTGCATGCAGTTGATCCCCTAAACTGCCCGGATGACTACTATCCGCGTATGTATCCGCGTATGTATCCGCGCCCGTGCCCACGCCCACGCCCACGCCCGGAACCATAGATATGGGCGCCTGTTGAGGCGCCTGACCAGGATGCTGTTGTGGCACCTGAAAAGGCACCTGAAAAGGCGCCTGTTGGATCGGCTCGAAGGATGAGCCTACGGCCATGGAAAAGGGCGCAGGGTGGCAGGCGACGGGCGCTCTTTCCGACTCACCAACAGGCTCGGGTTCCAAACCTAGAGTCAAAGTTGACGCCAAGCCGTGCCTGCTTGGCTCGGCAGGCTCCAGGCTCAGCTTCGTTGCCCTCCTACCAATGGATAGGTCCGGGCTTGCAACGGTCGCTAGTGTGTTATCTGAAAGAGTGAGACCAGGCCGTCTATCTGACGGTCCTGACGGTCTGTCGCCGCTTCTACTATGCACGGAACTGTCCTTTTCTCTGTCCTCCGAGCACCACTGCATAGGCAGCAGCTGCATCAGCCTCGGCTCCTCCTCCTCCTCCTGCTGCTGCTGCTGCTGCTGCTGCTGCTGCTGCTGCTCGTTTTGACGATGAGCATGGTTAACGTTCAGCAAGTCTGCAATAGGTTCTGTGCTCCTTTCTGCTCCTGCTTCTGCTCTCGGTCCTGCTGCTGCTGCACTCGTGCTACCATCCGCTGCGCTCTCGTTCCCACCTGCTTCTGTTGCTGCTGCTGTTGCTGCTGCTGTTGCTGTTGCCACAGTGGACAATCCAAGCTCTACCACCCCTACGCCGGATCTTCCCCTGCACCCCTCACTTCCCCCCTCCACCTCCATAGCTTCCGCCTTCGCCTCACTCCACCACTCCCGTTCCCGCCTCAAGCTCTTCCTTCTCCCCCCAATGCCCCCTTCCGCTCCCCCTGCTCTGCCCAGACCCGCGGAGAGATCCAAGCAGGGGGGCAGGGATGTCTTACCCGTTCCCCCCATCCTTCCCCCACCCAATTCCCCCAGAACTCCGCCTGCTTGCTCCGCCTTTACGGGCTCCGCGGATCCTGCGGCCACAGCCCCCAAACTAGCACCCCGCAGATCTACCGCCCCCATGCTTGCATCTCCACCGTTGGATGGACCCAAATCTAGCGGCCCCATACTCGCGCCGCCCTGCATTGCAGCGCTCGAGTCCAGTAACTGCCTGGCCAGATACGACCTGTGCGTGCTGTCGTTTTGTGCCATCGTCATCAGCTCCGCTGCCGCCCCCGCTACCCCCGCCGTTCCCCCCGCCCCCCCTGCTCCTGCGCCGCCTACTCCCGCTCCGCCGATCCGCGCTCCCCCCAAACTGAACTCCGCGGAAGGTATACCACGCAGCGCGCCTTGCCCCGCCCCGTTCGCGCTGGTAAAGTCCCCGACTGCGCGATTTTCCACCTCCGTCCCCGTTACTACCCGCCTTGATTCTAGCTGCGACGCGCCTTCTATTGCGCCCCAGCGCTGCGATGACGGCGCAGCGGCGGACGAGGCCAGGTGGTTGAAAAGTAACGGCGCCGCTGGGGCGGAAGGATGTGACAGTAACGAGGGGGCAGGATGTGATACTAACGAAGGCGAGGGATGTGATACTAACGAGGGCGAAGGATTAAAAAACGAAGGGGGCGGCGCAGAAGCCCCTGCCGCCTGCGCAATAGCGCCAGGCGGGGAAGGGGGAGGCGGAAACGGGGAAGACGCGGGGGGGAACATGGGCGGAGTCAGCTGGGGTGATGTCAGCATCTGCGGGTGCATTTGCGCCTGCGCTTGCGCCTGCGCCTGAACCTGCGCCTGAGCCTGCGCCTGAGACTGCGCTTGGATGTGCGCCCGCGGGAATAGCGCGGCTGCTATCGCGTCTACAGCGCTAGACGCGGGGTGGGATCCAGAATTGGGTGGGGGCGCAACCATCGCGAACGACGCGAGGAGCGGGGGGGGCGTTCTCTTTGCGGGGAGCAGCGCGATCGCGGCAGCGGCGGCGGAGGCGGAATCTTGCGGGGAAGGCGGGAACGCAAACCGCGAGAACGCCCCGGCAGCCGCCGCCGCTGCCGCGGCCGCCGCGCCGGCTTGTCCGTCGGACTGCGCGGCGGACTGCGCACCGAATTGCGCGGAGGGCTGCGCGGCGGGCTGCGCGGCGGGGCGAGAGGAAGAGGCGGAGCGGCCGTGGTAGGTGAGCGTGAGCACGAGCGCACCCGCGGGAGCGCTGCTGTTGCTCAGCAGCCTGGCGGGGGGAAGCGGAGAAGACGAGAGCGTCACGGGGAGAGAACGAGAGGAGAGACGGGTTTGAACTGGTACGAACCTGCAAGACTACTAAACCGAGCGAGAACGAAAGGGAGGAGGCGTGAGAAGGGCAAGAGAAGAGCAGGTAGGAGAAGAGACTGAAAAGACAACGGAAGTTGGGAATCGAACAGGGGTGGGGGGGCGGAAGGGGGAGGGGGGAGTGGGGGCGGGGAGGGGAGTGGGGGTGTGCGAAAGGGGAGGCGATTCGCGAAGATCGGACACAACATGCGCCAATGAATGCTCGAATGGATGAAGCGCGAGACCGGAGCTCACTTAAACTCCGCGGGTTTCTTGGAGAGCTTGGCTGTACGCGATATAATCTCCTCCAACGACACGTTCGCGGCGCCCAGCAGCTGATCGCGCCCGCGCGGCTGCGACATGAACACCTCGCAGCGCAGCCGCTGCGCGGAGCGGGGGAAAAGGCGGGGGGATGGGCGGAGAGAGGGGAAGGAAGGGGGGAGAGGGGAAGGAAGGGGGAAGCGGGGAGAAGAGGGAGGCGGGGAACGGGGGAATGGATGGAAGAGGAGACAGAGGGGAGATGAGGGGGAAAGCGTGAACCGCATCAGACCGCGACCCCGAGGCAGCCGCCACATGAACAGCTCGCACCACAGAGGTTGGGAGCGAGCGTCGCGATAAATTGGGGGGGATAGTTTGGGGAAGGAAGGTGGGGAGGTGGGGAAGGGAGATAGGGGAAAAGGGCGCGGGTGTAGGGAAAAGACGGCTTGATGAGCGGCGGCGGGAAGCCACGTGACGAGGATCTAAACTCCACCGTGCGAACGCGACGCAAGCGATCCGCGATTTTCCGCAACGGCGACGCAGCGGAGGAGGGAGGAAGGGAGGGGTGGTGGACAATGAATGCGAGGAACGACGAGAGAGCGCGCGACGAGCGGGACGAGCGGAGCGAACGCGACGAGCGGGACGAGCGGAGCGAACGCGACGAGCGGGACGAGCGCGAGACGAGCGCGACGAGCGCGGGACGGGTATAACGGGAGAAAGTTGCCGGCAAGGAACGCAAAAACGCTTGACACATCGCCAGTTACCTTACTCTCTTGCGTACACGCCGAAGGGTGGCAAGAAAAAAAGTTCCGTACAAAACTACTCGAAGCTCAATGGCGCAACATGAGTACAATCGACGCGACCCTGAACGCCTGACAAAACTACGATGTGACGCGGCTGGTTGACTATATGGCAGGTCGTATGCTGCATCCTATGACGATAGCTGCAAGAAACAACCATGGTGAAGTACCAAACAAGGCAGCAAGAGCTTGCTCGCCCGAGGAGACTCCGATTCGCAGCGACTGGTCGAATATGGGAGATGACACGTTGATGCTGCATCTTATCGTGACGATTGCAAGGAAAACTATGGTAGTGTACCAAACACGGCAGCACCAACCTGCTCGCCCGACGGGACTCCGACTTGCAGAGACTGGTCGAATATGGGACGCGTGCCGCCCTTGCGAACAGTCCTGGTCTGCTCACGCAGGTAACATAGAAACAGGACGCAGGTCTGCTTGACGCTACGCTACGCGAGCAACAATCCTTACGACAAAATTTCCTCTAAGCCTCAAGGGCGGAAACGCAAGCTCGAAACAACTAAGAATAAGTCAAGTAAGTCTCGCCATATTGGGAAGTGTTTAACGGTTAAGAATAGACGAGAATCGTGAATTGCTGCTAACTGGTCGACGAAAAAACAGACTCGTGTACCTGTAACACGGCACCGGAGAGGGGATCGAGCTCGCCGAATAAAAAACGAACGTAAACGTCCTGCTCGCCATAGTCACACAATGAGGGGAGCCCTGCCGCATAATGGACATGAACATCCAAAATTCCCGCCATGGATCGTCCACACGGCGTGGACCTTCCTCGCGAAGCCATTGCAACGAGATTCTAGCTGGGAAATTCTACTCTAACGATCCTTTTTCTCGGAATCAAATAACAGCTACGACCAATCGTCCATGGTGGAAGAGGCAACCACTGAACAAGTTTCACGACCAGAGACACGACAGAGAAGATGAAACCAATCTCGAGGTGTGTGAGGGAAGTCCGTAGGGGATGCAAGTTGCGCTCGCAGCAAGAGAGAGCAACGGAGAGGAGAAGGCGGAAGGCCTTGGAAACAGGAGAGGGTCGAGGGGAGAAATGCACGCTTGGTGGGGCGCGGAACGAGTTGATTGAGCGGAGGGGGGAGCGGGGGAGGAGAGAAGAGGCACAGACGGCGCAGCGGAGGAGAGAGGGTGAGCGGGGAGTGGGATGGGAAGGGAAGGGAAAAGAGGTGGAGGGGGGAAGGCTCTCAGAAGCAGCACGAGGCGGGGCGGCTGGAGGGTCAAGCTGGTTGGGGGAAAGGGGTGCAGAGCGGCGGAGAACGGGGAACCGGGGGCAGTGACTCCGGGGTAACGGGAAGCGGGAAAAGGTGCGGGATGCACGGGGGGAGATGAGTGGGGGGAAGAGATTGGTTGGAAATGACGCGGTGGGTGATTGCGGTGGGAAACCGTCAGGAAGCCCCCAGAGAAAGCGCAGTCAGTTTGGCGACGCTGACCGAACCTCATCCTCCATAGATTTTCTGAAATACTTGTTCTCCACACAACCCCCTGGATCCGCAATACTGTTTTTTCCTTAGACTTCTCTTTCATTGGTCATTCCACTGACCAGAAGAAGTTTTAAGATATGCACTTTTAGCGTAGTGGCTATGCGCGTTGCGATAGTTCGCTAAGCGCATTGAGATAGTTCGCATTCCACTGACCAGAAGTTTTGAGATATGCACTTTTCTTACCGTAGTGGCTAAGCGCATTGCGCTTAGCCAGAAGTTCGCTAAGCGCATTGCGCTTTTTTGGGAGCAATGTAGTTTTCGGGGTCTGAGGGAGACACACACTTCAACAAATGTGAACCACAGCAGGGCATGAGCTTGCGTGGCATGGCGAAGGGAAATTTCGAGGGGAAAAGGGGGTGATGGATGGCCATGCTTGCGTCATGGTTTGTGGGGTTTTCAATCGTCGGTGGCAGCTCGAGCAGGATCGAACAAAAGCATTGAATAGCGGCAGCTGGAGTCAATGGCTGATCCGCTCTTGCCCGTTGAGAGCCACGCTGTCACTGAAGAAATTCCGCGCTTGGTATTCATTGGGGCTCGTTGGTGCAGGTTCAGAGGAGGGGAGGGAGGGGGGGGGGGGGGGGGGGGCGCTGGCTGGATCCTTGTTGAGCGGAGGAAGAATCTAGGAAGCCCAACAATGAGGGAAGGAGAGGTGGGGCGACTGACACGCTGGCATGGCAAATCTCCAGCACTGACCAGACCAAGCCAGTGTACAGCATAATTTTTCATGCGGCGGGCAGGTGCCTCTCCAGCCTGCCAACTCTCGAAAGCCAGTGAATGACGTGTGCTGACGAGAGGCCTGTGACACAACCAACACAAAAAACTTCTAGGGGTGACTGTGACCGACACCCGTAGTTGACACTCAACAGCTTGTGTTTAGGAGCTGGGAGCATTTCATCCTAGAACAAAGAGTACGTGAAACGCCTAGAACAAAGAGGTTACGTGAAACGTTGTGCATAATCTGGACCTTCCGGTGTAAGTAATCCTGGAATATATACATACGAAAGGAATCGGGGGAGTGGAACTATTCTTGCAAACATGCAGAACGTCATTGTCCGTTGTCCTCATTGATTTGTGATCACGTGCGGCTCTTTGTCACGCTGGACAACTGTATAGCAACTATAGATGTGCCCAGCTTCTACATATTGTACTACAAAGCAGATAGCACTGAATAGCTTAGATTTATTCCTTACTGTCTCATCACACAAAGATAAACCTGCTAGTTTGTAACTAATCGCTAGCACAAAGGCTTGCCTGATGTTGTCCAAATATTCTGAATCTAAATATGTTTTTTCTCATTAAAGGGGAATACTGTTTCGCGTAAAACAACCCCAACTTTCGGAAGTACACGTCCGAGATCGGTAATATAAATAGATGAATTTATTTTCCGAATTTCTGAACCTCAAAATTTTTTCATGAGAGCGTGTTCTGATTATCGATATTTAGTAGAAATTTTTGGAAGTATTCTGAAATGCTGGGATACTAAGAATGCTTTAACAATTATGTTTATCTGTGCAAGCGGAGCAGATACTAAAGGAGGCGTTTTGTTGCCGTTGCTGCAGCTCGGCACGGCATTCCCTTATCAGTCAAATCACACGGCATTCAGGCGACAGGCGACGGTTGCTCATTTTGATCACAATACATGGCGTTAGTAGTAGCATACATAAACATGGTATGCCCATTCTAGCATGGCCTTGCGTGGTCAATCAGGCAGCAACCTTAGATTGTCGGGGTGTTGGGTGTAGTCTCTTTCACGACGCGCGAATTAGTGTCTAAGGCATGGCTTGTCCTGGATTGGACGACGCGGAAGGCACTCGCGCAACAGAAGGAAACGACGGAAACGGACTAAAAGGCGAATAAAGAGACGGACGGCGTTAGAACCAAGCACTGCGATTCCACGGCCGCGAAGGCCGGAGCAGAGCGAAGATGGAGAACAGAGAGGCAGAGGGGAAGAGTGACGAGGCAGAGTTGGTGAGTAAAGGGCCAGAACGGAAGCGTAAAGAGGCAGAACCGAAGCGTAAAGAAGCCGCGAAGGTGGAGTTCGACATCGATATTGACGCGCTTCTGGCGGCGGTGAGCGACGACGACGAGCTTGATGACGTGGACGACCTTGAGGAGGGCCTGTGGGGCGGACGCAGCCTGGAGGAGATCCTGAATGACGTGTCGGATGACGACGATGACGTGGCAGGTGCTGCTGGTGACGAGAACTTGGAAAATACACCCGAATTGGGCGTTTCTGTTCATGATGCTACAATTGTAGCACCAGTTCTGCCTTCTAACGGGGATAGCACTCGTTCTCTGACCGTGCCTCGTTTAGAGTCTGCCCCTTCTGTAATAGAGCAGCCGACAGTCCTTCTAGGCCCCTCTTCAGCCGCGTCGAATGGCTCATTGCCACGTGGCTCGGGTGGATCAGGCAGCCCTGGAAGCCCTCAGTCTTTGGACGGTCGAGATCTGTCGTTCGGCCAGTGGGAAAACGGCGTGATTGGGATGAATCAGGGAAAGGGAATTCAAGCCCAGCTTAAAGCAGACGTAGGCGCGGAGATGAAGGATTTGCAGGGGGAGGAAAGCTCCGATTCCGTTTCGTTTAATGCCATACTTCGACCGACTTTTGTGCTACATGGTGCGGATGAGTGTGAGGAAAAGGGGGCCAGGAAGGAGAAGCAGCAGGGGGAGGAGGAAGAAGGTGGAGAGGGGAGGGAGGGCGAGGGTAAGGAGGGAGAGGGGAAGGAGGGCGAGGGTAAGGAGGAAGAGGGGATGCGGTGTGATGTGCGGGAGCCTTCCTTTGGGCAGTGGAAGCGCAGTGAGAACAAGAGGAGTGACAATAAGGGAGGAGGTGTGATAATGATGAGAGAGACGCGTGACACAATTGAAGGGGATGGAGGGGTGACAGACATTCCAGAAAGGGGAATAGGAGGAGGCGAAGCACAACGAGAGGCAGGAGGAGATGGGGCAAAGGCATTAGCAGTAGGAGGAGGAACAGGAAATGAGAGCGAGAGAGGAGGAGGAAGACGTGAAGCGAAAGGGGAGGCAGGGGCAAGTTGGGTGGATGCAGTAGGTTCGGCATCCGTAGACAGCCCCCGAAGCTCGGGAAGCGGAGCCACGGGCAGTAGCTTCGGTGATTTGTCTGTAGTGAGCGGGAACTCCTGCCCTGTCAGTGTGCTGGGCGGGCGGGGCAGTGCGGCTTTATCTGGCGCGGGGAGCAGCGGGGATTCTGCTTTTGGCGGATCAGCCTTTGGAGGGTACGGAGGGGAGAGCGTGGAGGGAAGATTGCACAGGCACGAGCATGGTCATGCACATGGGCATGGACATGGGCATGGGCATGGGCATGGGCATGGGCATGGGCATGGGGTTGGATATGGGAGTCGGTATGGGCATGGGGGTCGGTCACGAGGTGGGGTGCCTAGGATCAGGCCAGGAGCGGCGTTTGCTGCAGCCGAGGTGGCAGCAGCTGCAGCGGCCCAACGCCGCGCCCTCTTGACCCAGGCTCAGGGGCTGATAAGTCAAGGAGGGTCCTCTGCTCTTTCCGCTTCTCATGCCACTTCTGCTCTTTCCGCAGTTTCCACATCTTCTGCTGTGTCTGCTGCTGGCACGGTTGTTGCTGGCACGGTTGCTGCTCCAGCTGCTGCAGTAGCAGCAGATATATCCGCCAGTGGGGCATCAGCCGGCTCTGCTGCTGTAGCTGGGCCAACAGAGATGAATTTTGAGTCGACTCAAAAGCCAGCTGCTGCAGTAGCAGCAGATGAATCTGCCAGTGGGGCATCAGACGGCGCTACAGCTGATTTTGAGCCGGTAGCAGTGGCAGCTGCTACAGCAGCAGTGGCAGCTGCTACAGCAGCAGCAGCAGCTGCTACAGCAGCAGCAGCAGAGCCAGTGGGCTCAGTGGCAGCTGCTACAGCAGCAGTGGCAGCTGCTACAGCAGCAGCAGCAGCAGCAGAGCCAGTGGGCTCAGTGGCAGCTGCTACAGCAGCAGTGGCAGCTGCTACAGCAGCAGCAGCAGAGCCAGTGGGCTCAGTGGCAGCTGAAACGCCAGCAGCAGCAGCTCCCTCTGTGGTAGTGGCGCCTCATGCTGCTGATGTGGGTGGTGCGGCTGGTGTCGCTGGTGCCTCTGCTGGTGTTGTTTTCTCAGTTGCTGCCGATAGTTCTGCTGCTACCACTATTCATACTGGTGGCGCTGTCATTGCTGGTGGAGATGGTACTGCTGATGCTGCTGATGGCACTGGTAGTGCTGGTGCAGCTGGTGCCTTTGGTGAAGGCCAACGGGGGGTAGAGGGTGAGACGAGGGAAGAGGAGGAAGTCATCGAAGAGGAGGGTGCCGGCACACGGACGAGTGCTGTCCGGAGCGGTGAGATAGGCGAGAAGGACAAAGAGGAAATAGCGGAGGTTGAGGAGAAACCGGAAGAAGCGGATGAGGAAGAGGAGGAAGAAGAGGAAGAGGAAGAGGAAGAGGAAGAGGAGGAGGTGGTGGAGGGGGATGAAATGCAGTGGGAGGAGAAAGAAGGTGAAGGCAGGGGTATGGGGAACGATGACTGTGCTGCAGTATCAGCAGCAGCCCTGGCAGGTGATTTTCAGAACCTTCGGAGCTTCTGGATTGCCCCTCTTCCTTCCTCTGCATCTGCCTCTGCTGCGGCTGCTGCTGCTGCTAGTGCCGCTGTTCATGGCGCTGCTGCTGCCGCTGGTGCTGCCTCTGTTGCTGCCACTGCTGCCGTCGCTTCTGTGGAGGAAGAGGAAGGGACGGATGGCGATGAAGGAGACGGGAGGGATGAGCTGGCGGCGATGGAAGAGAAGGAGAGGCTGCAGCTGCTGGTGGGGTGGAGGAAGAGTGAGGACGGGCAGGACGGGGAGGTGAAGGAAGGAGAGTCAAGCGAGGGCAGAATCGCCACAGCAGCAGCAGAAGCAGGAGCAGCAGTGACAGAACCAGCAAACGGGTTACCATCTAGTGGTGAACTGGCAACAGCAGAACCAGCAGCACCGTCACCATCAACAGCAGCAGCAGCAGAAGCAGAAGGCGAAAAAGTGGCACCTGTTGCAGCAGCAGCAGCAGCAGTGGAACAATCATCAGTCCCGCTCACCCCAATCCGCTTTGAGGGTATCGAGAGAGGCCCGCCCGCCGTGGGCCTACTAGAAGTCGACGCCGTGCCGCCCCTCTGCGCTGAGCTGGCACCCGCTGACGTCACTCCTGACCGAACCGACTCAGCAGGTCCGGGACAACCCGAACCAGGCTTCCGGACCAACTCGCGGTCGGCCACAGCTGTAGCAGTGCATGAATTGCTGGTGGCAGTGGGGACGGCAGGAGGAAAGGTTCTCCTCATGCCTGTGCTACAACCAGCCCTGCACGGTTCCCCTTCCCCCCATCAGCCCACCCCTGTTCCTGCCCGGATCACAGAGCTAATTCCCCCTCTGTCCGCCTTTGCCAGCTCCCCAATGAGGCACGACAGGTCGTCAGTGTCTGTGCTGGCGTTCTCCCCTGCAGCTGATCTGCTCGCAGCAGGGCTCGCATCCGGGGCTGTTGTGCTCTGGGATATCTCCTCCCTCCGCCCTCGCTTTCCTGCTTCTTCTTCTGGTGCTGGTGTTACTGCTGGTGCTGCTGGTGCTGGTGGTGAGGCGAGAGGGGGAAGGAAGGGTGGGGGGAGGGTGGGGGCGGGCGGGGGAGGCGTGGGGGGGCTGGGGAGTGCGCTGGGGGGGTTGGTGGCGCCGGTGGTGAAGGTGGTGTGGGAGCATGCTGCTGCTGTCGTGCATGCAGGCTTCGCTGCCTCGGGATTCCCCGCTTCTGCTGCTGGTGCTATTTCTACTGGTGCTGCTGCTGCGGGTTCTGGTGCTTCTTCTGGAGGTGTGGGCAGTGGTGCTGCTGCCACTGCCACCGGCCCTGGTAAACGGGGAATCGGGGGAGGAGGGGGAGGAGGCGGGGAGGGAAGAGGCGGAGGAGGGGCGGAAAGCATGGGGAGTGATTTTGGGGCGGGGCTGGTGAGTGGGGCAACGAGCCTCATGAGCGGAGCAGCAGGGGGACTCATGGGGGGAGCAGCAGGGAGGAGCTACGAGGTGGTGACGGGGGATGCGATGGAGTACGTGGTGCTGCATTCAGTGACCTATCTGCCCTTCCTGCGCTCCATGAACATCACTTCTCGCAAGGTGAGTGCCTCTCAAGGCGAGAGGAGGCTCATGAGGGGGGGGCTGACTGATGGGGGTGCTGGCTTATGAGGGGGCCAGCCGAAAGCTACGAGGTGGTGACGGGGGATGCGATGGAGTATGTGGTGCTGCACTCCGTCACCTACCTGCCGTTTCTCCGCTCCATCAACGTCACTTCTCGCAAGGCGTGTGTCACGAATGTGTAGCATACATACACTGGGCTTCTATTCTCTACCGTCTGCCGTCTGCCGTCTGCTCATCTCTCGTTCTTTCCTTCCCGCACCTTACCCTTACTCTCATCACTTTCTCCTTTCCTCTCCTCTTTCCCGCCTCTCCTCTTCCCGTCACCTGCTCGTCCCACCCTGTACGTCCAGATTGGTGGTCGCTGTCTGTTGCTCTCCGCCTGGTTACCAGGTCCCATCCACCCTTCCCAGCCTCCTTCCACCAGCTCCAACCCAGCCTCCCAAGCCTACCAGCCAGGTTCGGCAGGGCCAGCACAGCAGGGTGGACTTCCAGGCTCGGGAAAGAGCAGTGGTTTGGCAGTAGAGGCCAGGCAAAGAGGGGTAGAAGGAACGGTGGGAGGGGGAGGAGGAGCAGGGGGAGGGGAGAAGGGGGAGGGGGTAGCGGAGGTGACAATGGGAGAAGTGATGATGGTGACAGACAAAGTGCTGCTGCTGGTAAGGGTTTAGATTTTTGTGGGCTGCTGGTAAGGAAATGATTCTTGAGTCGACTCAAAAGGTAGCGGAGGAGGTGACAACGCTGAAGTGATGATGGTGACAGACAAAGTGCTGCTGCTGGTAAGGGCTCTGCGTGGGCTGGTAAGGGCTCTGCGTGGGCTGGTAAGGGCTCTGCGTGGGCTGGTAAGGAGTGCGTTTTGAGTCAACTCAAAAGGTGACTTATGAGGTGACTTTTGAGTCGACTCAAATGACAACGGGTGAAGTGATGGTGGTGAGAGACAAAGTGCTGCTGCTGGCAAGGGGTGCAGAGCAGAGTTGTGTGTTGTTATGTTGCAAGCGCAGCACGCACGCGTTCCAGGAGAGAAAATAGGCGTGCTGTCTCCACCTGCTGCTCTGCTCCACCACCCCCCAACCGCACATACATTGATGCCAACCCAATTGCACTCTGCTGCCACTCTATCCCCCTCCAACCCAATTGCACTCTGCTGCCACTCTATCCCCCTCCCCCTGCGATTCTCCCCTTTCGTCCATCTCTGACTCCCAACCCCCCCCCCCCCCCCCCCTCCTTTTCTTTTCCATGCGACCTGCTGCCCAATGCACTCGTCCTGCTGCCCAATGCACTCGTCCTGCTGCCCAATGCACTCGTCCTGCTGCCCAATGCACTCGTCCTGCTGCCCAATGCACTCGTCCTGCTGCCCAATGCACTCGTCCTGCTGCCCAATGCACTCGTCCTGCTGCCCAATGCACTCGTCCTGCTGCCCAATGCACTCGTCCTGCTGCCCAATGCACTCGTCCTGCTGCCCAATGCACTCGTCCTGCTGCCCAATGCACTCGACCCCAACAGCACCGCCCTGCCCTACGCTGCCTGGCGCTGGGGTCTCATAACCATAACCCCCCTCTCTCCCTTGCTCTACTGGTATCCACCCATTCACAGGTTCAGGCCCTCGCCCTCTCTCCCTCCCTCGTAATCCAACCCCTCTACAGGTTCAGGTCCTTCCAAAATTCGCCCCCATATGCACGCACGCTCGACCTGCTGCCCTATGCCCTCGACCCCAACACCACCACCTTACCCTACGCTGCCTGGCGCTGGGGCCTCTCCTTCGGCCTCTCCTTCCGCCTCTCCTTCTGCAATTCTCCTCTTCTCCCTCCCCCCTGTCCGATCCCTCACAGGCTCAGATCCTCCCCAAGTTCGCCCCCATATGCACGCTCGACCTGCTGCCCTACGCCCTGGACCCCAACAGCACCGCGCTACCCTACGCTGCCTGGCGCTGGGGCCTCTCCTTCCGCCGCGCCCCGCCCCCTCCCTCCCCCCTCCACAAACCCGCAGCCTCCCGCCTCGTCCCCTCCTCCTCCACCCCCTCCTCCTCATCCTCTTCACCCCCTTTCTCCTCCTCGTCCCCCTCGTCCTCGTCTCGCGTGAATCCCTCTCCTCCCACGCCTCTGGTGCTCCCTCGCTCTTCTGCTAGTACCGGCACTGGCGGCAGCAGCAGCAGCAGTACGAGCACCCGTGGTAGTGCCAGCATCAGCAGCAGAACCAGTGAGGGCAGGCGAGCAAGTTTGGGTGGTGACGCAGGGTCTAGTGGTGATGGGAATAGGGCTGTTAGTGGGGTCAGTGGGAGTGGAGGGGTAGAGAGAGGGGTACGGGGAGGTAATGTTGATAAAGCTGCATCAGCTGCACTCCGCTCATCCCCACCACCACCATCAGCAGGAGCAGGAGGGGGAGCAGCAGCAGCAGCAGCAGCGGGAAGAGCAGCAGGCGGAGGAGCAGGAGTGGGGGGAGCAGGGGGAGCAGCAGGGGCGCGGAGGGCATGGGTGCAGGAGAAGGTGTTCGCGTTGGGGTGGGGGCGGGTGGTGCTGGTGGTGAGTGTGTTTGGGCGAAGCATGGAGGTGATTCACCGCTGGGACGTGCACTCCACTGTTGCTGGCCTTGCTTGGCTGGACCACCAGGTAAGTCAGTCATCAATTTCTGAGAAGGCATAGGCTTGGCTGCAGGCAAGGCATGGGTTGTGGGAAAGCTCGTAGTGGGAAGACCTAGCTCCTGGGGCATGTGGTGAAGCATAGACCTAGTCACTTGGCCCCATGTTTCTACTGTCCTTGCGTGCAGCATTCCGTCTTTTCTCCATCTTCATCCCTCCTCCACTACCTAACCCTTCCATACTCCCCTAACTACCTCCCGCTGCCCTTTCTTCCTGCTCTCGCCCCACATCAGGTTCTCCTCATCCTCACAGCTTCGGAGCACTTTTGTCTTTTCTCGCTGGGCGGCCAGCCAATCAAGCGCCAGCCCTTGCTACACTACGACTCCGACTCAGATTACAGCAGCTACAGTGCCGCCGGCCACGGCCGTTTCGGCCTTGTCTTCCACCCCTTTTTGTCTCGTAGCGGCCGCCCGATCCCCTCGTTCCAGAACAGCGCCGCCGCCTGGAGCAGCGGGGCGGCGGTGTTTGTCCTCTTGCAGGGGGGCGGCATGGTGGTGCGGGCGCACTTACTCTCCTGGAAGGAGAGAATCAAATCTCTGGAAGCGGCCGGCGACTGGATGAATGCGCTGCACACTGCAATGGAGATTTACCAAGGGAGGGCGGTGGGCGTAACAGGGTTACCATGCGACCCGGAGGAGCTAGCAGCCGAAATGGGGGCTCTCCTATTAGCATACATAGAGCAGGTTTTCTCGTACTTAAAGCAGAGCGCGGCAGCGCTTACCCCAAAAACACTTAGCCCAGCGGTACTTAGCCCGGTAGCGCTCAGTCCTGTGAATGCCAGTCCTGAATCGTCACCCCGCCACCCAAGCTCCTCCGGTTCAGCCACAGCAGCATCAGCGGCGGCAGCAGCAGTAGCAGCAGCAGCGGCAGTGGCAGCAGCAGCAGAGGCGGCGGGAGAGGAGCAGAGGGAGGAGTATGTGCGGGTGGGCGGGGTGGCAATCGAGTTCTGCATCCGCGTGCACCAGCTGCCCCTGCTGTTCGGTGCCGTGTTTGACAAGTTCACCCAGAGAGGGCAGCGAGGTGAGATGGGTGGGGTTGGGTGGTGGGAGGGATTGGGGCAGGGGCAGGGGCAGGGATTGGGGCAAGGGCAGGGAAGCAAAGGGTGGGCGGGGTGGCGATAGAGTTTTGCATCCGCGTGCACCAGCTGCCGCTGCTGTTTGGGGCCGTGTTTGACAAGTTCACCCAGCGTGGGCAGCGAGGTGAGTGAGAGGGGTGGGGGGTTCAGGGGGCAGATGTGCGGGGATGCCGGTTGGGGTGGCGATCACGTTCTGTATCCGCGTGCACCAGCTGCCCCTGCTGTTCGGTGCCGTGTTTGACAAGTTCACGCACAGAGGGCAGTGAGGTGAGAGGGGGCAGTGAGGTGAGAGGAGTAACGTAGTGAGAAGGGGCAGATGTGTGGGTGGGGATGCGAAGTGGGTTGTGCATGAGGGTGCTGCAGAGAGTGCACCAGCTGCCATTGCTGCTGTTTGGGGCCGTGTTTAGTAAGTTCACTCAGAGAGGGCAGCGAGGTGAGAGGGGTAACGTGGTGAGAAGGGGCAGATGTCTGGGTGGGGTGGGCATGAGGGTGCTGCAGAGAGTGCACCAGCTAGCTATCGTTGCTGTTAGGGGCCGTGTTTGACAAGTTCACCCTGAGGGGCCAGATGTGACTTCTTAGTCATGTCCGCACGAACATCTGTCTCTCATCGCTCGCTGCCCTGCCTCTGCTCCCTGTGCCCACTTGCAAGCATCTCCCTGAAGCTGCTGGAGCCCGACATCTATGCATGGGTGCAATAGCGAGTGATTTTTGAGAATTCTCAAAAATCACTCGATGGATGCAATAGTCTGTCTGGTGATTTTTGAGTGCACCCATGCATATCTTTTGAGTCGACTCAAAAGCGAGTGCACCCATGCATAGATAGACCCCACATCTTTTTCTTCCTCACACCCACCCGTGCTCCCCCGCCCGCCTCTGGTGTGTGCGTGCAGGCATCTTCCTGGAGCTGCTGGAGCCGTACATTCTCACAGACCACCTCAGCACGCTCCCTCCGGAGGTACCGCCTGCCTGCCTAGACGCACCTGCGGTCATTGTTGAGATTGTGCCAGATGAATGTACCGCCTCCGCAACCTTTTCGCAACCTTTTCGCAACCTTTTCGCAACCTTTTCGCGACCTTTTCGCAACCTTTTCGCAACCTTTTCGCAGCCTTTTCGCAGCCTTTTCGCAGCCTTTTCGCAACCTTTTCGCAACCTTTTCGCACCTTTTCGCAACCTTTTCGCAGCCTTTTCGCAGCCTTTTCGCAACCTTTTCGCAACCTTTTCGCAGCCTTTTCGCAGCCTTTTCGCAACCTTTTCGCAACCTTTTCGCAGCCTTTTCGCAACCTTTTCGCAGCCTTTTCGCAGCCTTTTCGCAGCCTTTTCGCAACCTTTTCGCAACCTTTTCGCAGCCTTTTCGCAACCTTTTCGCCAGGCTGAAACCTGCCTAGATGTACCTGCGCCGCTAGACATGAGGCGAGGTCTGCGCTTGAAGCTCATTCATGCGCTCTTGTGTTTTTTAAGGCGCCTTGAAAGTGGCCGCTTGTCCCCTTCAAGCCCCCCCCACCAGGTGATGCAAGCGCTGGTGGAGCGTTACAGTGAGAGCGGGTGGCTGTCTCGTGATGGGTAAGACGGTTTATTTCTATCTCTCTGTGTGTGCGCTCTTCTCCTTCCCCCTTCATCCCTCTCTCCCCCACCACCAGGTGATGCAAGCGCTGGTGGAGCATTACAGTGAGAGGGGGTGGCTGTCGCGCGTGCAGCAGTGCGTGCTTCACATGGACATCTCCTCGCTGGACATTAACCAGGTGTGAACCCAGCTTCCTTTGATTGATTCGCCTTTGATACATCTCAAGCTCGCTCAATCGCGTGCAGCAGTGCGTGCTCCACATGGATATTACCTCGCTCGATATCAACCAGGTGTGTGCGATTGATCTCTCTCTGCAAGGGTAGCGTTGTTGCTCTGCCTCCCTTCCAATCATGAGTGTGCAGCAGTGCGTGCTCCACATGGACATCGCCGCACTTGACATGACATCAGCCAGGTACTTGATTGCTCAGCTTCGTGCGATATTAACCAAGGGAGGACTCAACCTGCCTGCACTTCTCTTTGCACGATATCAGCCACGTGCACGGCACGCTGATACCTCTTTTCTTGATTTAATTTGAAGCGCTTCAATCACATGAACATTAACTCACTTGACATCAACCGGGTGTGAACTCCTCCTTCGATTCTCTTTTGAGAATTGTATATAACATGTGTGCAGTGCAGTGCAGCAATGCATGTGTGCAGTGCAGCAATGCATGTGTGCAGTGCAGCAATGCATGTGTGCAGTGCAGCAATGCATGTGTGCAATGCAGCAATGCATGTGTGCAGTGCAGCAATGCATGTGTGCAATGCAGCAATGCGTGCTGCACTGCGCGTGGTTGGGCATCGCCTCTCTCGACATCAACCAGGTTAGCTTGGATGGGCGAAATGAAGCAACTGTTCGTTTCTAGTCATACTCCAATCGACCTCTTCGTCTCACTCATGCGTGCACCATCTTGTTCCTCTTGTCCCTCCCCTCTTCCTCACATCTCCCGTCTCCATTTCTCTCAGGAGGTGCGTCTGTGTCGTCAACACACACTGCACTTAGCCCTCATCTACCTCTTCACACGCGCCCTTCCATGTCCCCTTCCCTCAACCCCCCTCATATTTTATCCCCTCTCAGGTGGTGCGTCTATGTCGTCGACACAGCCTGCACCTATGTTTGCTTCTCCCTTTCTCTCCACCCCCCTTCTTCCCATCTTTAACCCCCTCCTCTCAGGTGGTGCGTCTATGTCGTCAGCACAGCCTGCATTCAGCCCTCATCTACCTCTTCACGCGGGCCCTTCCATGCCCTCTCTCCCTTTCCTTCCGCCCCTGTTCCCCCCCATTTTCGATCCCCTCCCAGGTGGTGCGTCTGTGTCGTCAGCACAGCCTGCATTCAGCCCTCATCTACCTCTTCACGCGGGCCCTTCCATGCCCTTTCTCCCTTTCCTTCCGCCCCTGTTCCCCCCCATTTTCAATCCCCTCCCAGGTGGTGCGTCTGTGCCGTCAGCACAGCCTGCACTCAGCCCTCATCTACCTCTTCACGCGGGCCCTTGCGGATTTCGTCTCGCCAGCCCAGCAGCTGCTTTCCACCCTCCTCGCCTCCTCCTCCTCCGCAGCTCCCAGTACTGGATTCGGGGAGAGGAGTCGGGAGAAGCAGCGGCATAAGAAGGAGGAGGGGGAGAAAAAGGAGGAAAGGGAGGAGGGTCGGCAGTGCGGGTGAGTTGGTCTGTGCCTCTTGATGGTTTTCCCGTTAGTAGCTCGTGACTTATTGATAATTGGAAGGGTGGAGAAGGTTTGAATGAGCGAAGTCTCACACGTACCCGTTGCCCATCGTTCCGCACACCTCTCCCCCTACTCCGCGTTGCAAACTCCCCCTTCCGAGTTCCCTCTTCCCTGCGTTCTAACCCTCTTGTGTGCGTTTCCTCTCTTTCCCTCACCCCATCGCAGCTACCGCCTGCTGCTCTTCCTCAAGCTCACCTTTTCCGGCCTCAATTTCCCTCCAGGTAACTGCGGCTACACCTTTCCTCCTTCTCTTCTACACCTTTCCTCCTTCTCTTCTACACCTTTCCTCCTTCTCTTCTACACCTTTCCTCCTTCTCTTCTACACCTTTCCTCCTTCTCTTCTACACCTTTCCTCCTTCTCTTCTACACCTTTCCTCCTTCTCTTCTACACCTTTCCTCCAAGTAGTTGCACTCTTCTCTTCCTCCTGTCCGCCCCGCCCATCCATCCACCTTCCTGCTTTCCTTTTCTTTCCTTCCCTCCCATCCATCCACCTACATCTTGTCCCTATCCTCTGAAATTTCCTGCTTGCGCAGTCCTCATTCCCTCGTGTTGCTACTTTTAGCACCCCCACCTCCCCCCCACCTTCCCTCTACCCACCCCCCTCCCCTCTCCCCCGCTCCCTTCCTGTTGCTCTCATCCCCCCAGGCAGCGGTGCCATCTCCCCGTCCCTCCTGCCCTCAGCTCAAGCTGAACTCCTCAACTTCCTCCTCAAACCTCGTGTGACGAGACGATTTTTGGTCGACTCAAAGTTTCCCCCCTCTTCCCCTCCCCAACCGTTGTGCACCCTCACAGGCAGTGGTGCCATCTCTCCGTCCCTCCTGCCCTCAGCGCAAGCGGAACTCCTAAACTTTCTCCTCAAACCCCACCGCCCACCCCACCAACGCCCCTCCTCTCTCTCCCCATCCTCCCACGCCCTCCTCTGCTCGCCGCTCGCTCGCCTCCTCTCCTTCGATCACCGCGCCACCCTCTCGGTACTGCGTGTGATTCTCCGCTCTGTGTCCATACTGGATCAGCCACAACCGAGTACAGAACAGCAGACGAGTGCGGATTCGACGTCGACGAATCATAGGGGTGCGGGTGCAGCTTCTAACGAGGATGCTACTGTAGATCCAGCAGCTGGTGGTAGACTTGTTTTTACTCTATTAGAAATAGTGCGCTCCTGGTGCGAGGTGGCAGATGCAATAAGGAGTAACGAGGACTCCAATAAGGGAGAAAAAGACACTGTAGCTGTAGCGTCACCAGCAGCAGCACGTTCGGATGTAGCCTCGGATTTAGGTCTGGGACTAGGCTTGTGTTTAGACAGGCTCGGGGATGCAGCAGGCTGGGTGCTAGAGCTGGTGGCAGAGGCGGCAGCAGCAGGGAGAGTGGAGCTGGACCGAACTTCTCTCAACACCATCTTCGTTTATCTCACATCCGCTACTGTCACATTTGATTTGCGCGCTCTGCCCACTGCCGCTGCCACTTCTGCTGATGCCATTGCTGGTGGTGCCGGTGCTCCTGCTGCGAGCAAGGGAGCTGTACAGAAGCAGCATTCCTCCTCCTCCCCCTCGTCACCCGCCTCTCGCCCCGCTCTCGCTCTCCTCTCCCCCTCTGTGAGGCGGGCTCAGAGGGAGGAGCGGATGGAGGGGCTGGTGATGGCTCTGCCGGACTCCTGTGGTGTGGACTTCAATGCTCTCCTGCCCCTGGCGCTGCAAGCAGGCTTCCACCAGGTGAGGGCGAGTGGGCGAGAGAAAATGGGAGTGAGAAAGTGATCGAAAAGAAGGGGATGGAGGGAGGAGCGGATGAAGGGGCTGGTGATGGCTCTGCTGGACTCCTGCGGAGTGGACTTCAATGCTCTCCTGCCCTTGGCGCTTCAAGCCGGCTTCCACCAGGTGAGCTGTGCTGTCCCGTGATGGGCATGGGGATAGGGCAAAGGAGACTGGAGGCAGAGGGAGGAGCGGATGAAGGGGCTGGTGATGGCTCTGCCGGACTCCTGTGGTGTGGACTTCAATGCTCTCCTGCCCTTGGCGCTGCAAACGGGTTTTCACCAGGTGGGTGGGAATGCTCATCCTTAAGGCAGCCCTTGCACTTTCACACATAAGCATGGGGCCGGGTTGGTGTGAGGAGAGGAAGAGGATGCTTCCACTCTGACTCTTGTGTCGACTCAAAATGACTTTGAGTCGACTCAAAAGTCACCTCGTGTGAGGAGAGGAAGAGGATGCTTACCACCACTCTCACTCCTGCGTTCTCCCAACAACTCTCTCCTTCTCTCTCTCCCCCCCTTCCTCCCCCCTTCCAACCAGGTGTGTGCGCGTCTATTCATGCGAACACACGGCATGCTCGGCATTCACCAAGCGCTCTCCTCTCTCCATGTCCCCTCTTACACACATGGAAATTCCCCTCTCCCTTCATGCCCCCATCTCCCCAACCAGGTGTGTGCGCGTCTGTTCATGCGAACACACGGCATGCTCGGCATTCACCAAGCGCTCTCCTCGCTCCTCACAGACGCCCACCACCCCGACATGCCCTTTCGCCTCATCCAAAAGGCAGCCCTCGCCCTCACCCGCAGGCACGGGGTGGTGGGCGGGGAGGAGGGTGCTGCGCTGCGATTGGCCGTCCGGCGCCACCTGGCCCAGTTGGTGCGGCTGGACGGTGGCACTTGTCTGTATGTGGCGCTGGGGCTGCTGCGGCTGGATTTGGAGTTGATTGTGAGTGCCGATCTCGCCGGCCGGCCGCAGCTGCAGTTTGCTCTGCTGCGTGCCCTCTTCTTCTCCCATTCGCCTCCTCCTCCTCCTCCGCTGCTGCTGCTCCCGTTGCTGCCAGCACCGGCAGGTGTATCAGCATCAGCAGGCCCAAACGCAGCATCAGCAGTTCCAAATACAGCAGCAGGGGAAGTTACAGCAGCTGCTGCTGCAGCACCGCTGCAAGAGGGATTAGAACGAAAAGGAGGAGATGAGGGGTTGGGGATGGAGGGGTGGGAGGAGCAGAGGAGGCAGCTAGCAGCAGCAGCATCCCCACGAATGGTCGAGCTTTATATCGAGTTGCTCTGTATCTACGACCCTCCCGCGCTGCTGCCCTTCCTCCAATCACCTCTCGCCACCTGTCGCCTCGACCGCTGCCTCCGCGTCTGCCTCGCGCACATCTCCCCGGCGCTCGCCGCGCTGCCACGTCAGCCCGTGCCAGGTCAGCAGCAGGGCGCGCCTCCGCAGGCGCCACGTCAGCAGGTGGGGGGAGAGCCAGTCCTGAACTGCCACATCAGCGCTGCGGCGCGGGTGCTGCTAGAGCGAATGGGGTTGGTTCATGAGGCGCTGGCGCTGCTGCTGGTGGAATTACACTGCTGCTTGCATGCCCTGGATAGGAGGGTTGCTGGGATGATGATGAGGAGGAGCAAGAGGAGGTTGGGGGTGATGGAGAGGTCTATAGCGGGGACAACTGCTGAGGGGCCTGAAAGTGAGGTTGGGAGGACGGGCGAGAGTGAGGCGGGGATGAGGGGAGAGGGTGAAAGTGGAGGCGAAATGAGGGCTGACATGAAGGGAAGGTCGGGTCTGGAGCAAGGAAAGGAGGGTGGGAAGAGGAGGAGGAAGCGGATGAGGAAGAAGAGTGGGGGGTTGATGACACGAGTGCTGCAGATGGACGAGGTGAGATAGAGTTCTTCAAACTTGAGATTATTGGTCATTATTATTGTTCATTATCATTGTTCATTAATATTGTTTATTGCACACTTGAGGCATAATTCGCCTCTTTTCTCTCCGTTTTGATCTTTTGAGGCGCCTCAAAAGATGACACGAATGCAGCAGATGGAAGAGGTGAGAGATCCGCATGTAACACATCACACACAGAGACATTCATATCCTATCTCTCTCATCATTCACTCATTCATGTTCATTCACACTGCATATCATTCATGCCTTGCTTCATTGCAAACATCATACGCCACATCATTCATATCCTATGTCACTTGTATTCCATAAAATCATACCTTTCATGCTAATTCATATCAAAATCATCCGTTCATGCCACGCTTTGTCGTCTGCATAACCTGCGTATCATGTTTCTTTCTTGTTTCCTCTCTTGACTCAACTTAAAAGCCCCTCCTCGCGCTTCTCCACTCTCTCCTCCCATTGCTCCCCCCCCAGGTGCGAGTGCTGCTGGCCATACAGCACGAGGAGCTGGCTCTCTGTACGCGCAGCACGGGCAGGCTGCCCCACTGGCAGCACCCTTTTCATTTCACCTCAATCCCGTCTTGACTTTCCCCAACCGTCTTCCATCTCTCCCCCCCCAGGTGCGAGTGCTGCTGGCCATACAGCACGAGGCATTAGCTCTCTGTGCGCGCAGCACAGGCAGGCTGCCCCACTGGCAGTGCCGTGCCATGTGGCGAACGCTGCTGGACTGGTGGGTGTGAGGGTGTGTGAGTGTTGGGGGTGGGGGAGACGAATGATTCGATTAGGTGTTGCTGTGTAGTGGTGCTGTGTAGTGGTGCTGAGATGAATGCATCAGGTATCTGTGCGCGCAGCACAGGTAGGCTGCCTGCCCCACTGGCAGTGCCGCGCCATGTGGCGCACCCTCCTTGACTGGTGGGTGTGAGGGTGAGGGATGGGAGAGTGCGAAGAGGGGTCGTGACTGATCTGAGAGTGAGAGGCAGGGGTGGCTGGGGGTGGATTGGGGGTGGTTGGGTTGGGTCGGTGTGTGTGTTATGGGGGGGGGCCACGAGGAGGGGCGGTTGTTTGTGTATATCCTGACTTGCACTTCGGTTCGGTGTGTGTGTTATGGGGGGGGCACTTCGGTTCGGTCGACCCTTATCAGGGTTTAGGGTCCAATTCAGGGCCCTCCCCATTCATCCCTGTCTGTACATATCGTCATCCATTCCATTCCGTTCCCTTCCTCTTCACCATCGTCCCCACCCTCTTCCTTTCTACTCGTTTCTCCTCCCCGCACTGCCCCCCCCCCCCACCTCCCCCCCCCCCCCCCCTTTTCCCCCATTTCCTCCCCCCCAACAGCTTTCTCCTCCCTCTCAGGGCCCTCCCCATCCCATCTGCACCACCAGCCATCCCACCACCACACCCCTCCCCATCACACACACCCCCCAACCGCTGGCACTCGCTCTACTCACACCTCCTTACAGTCACAGGGGCGTCCGGCACAGCAGCCACAGGCAGGACCGGGGTGCAGTCCCGAGCAGGTGATTCCTCAGGTGATTTCTCAGGTGAAAACGGTCAGCAGGGGGTTGCTCCATCTGCACTGAGCTCGTTTCCGGCCCCATCTCTGCCGCCTTCGGTCTTCCCTCCTCCTCCACCCCCGCTCTTCGCCTCCTGTTGTCACGCGCTTGTGCTGCTTCGGGAGCAGCAGCAACGGGAAAGAAGTGGGGATGAGGAGCAGGCTCAAGAGCAAGAGAAACAGCAACAACAGCAGCAGCAGCAGCAGCAGCAGCAGCAGCAGCAGCAGCAGCAGCAGCAGCAGCAGCAGCAGCAGCAGCAGCAGCAGCAGCAGCAGCAGCAGCAAGAAAAGCGGTGGTGGCGGCAGGAAAACCACCCGCAAGCCTGCGATCTGATTCTGTTTGCCGTCCGGTTCCTGCTACAATGCTGTGCGACGGCCACTGTAGCAGAGATGGCAGGGATGGTGCCTCTGCCAGTCATTGCTGCCTGGCTGCTTGGTGCAGGCGAGAGGCAGAGAGACGGGGAAGGGGGAAGAGATCTCATTCAGAGTGAAATGACGGAGAATGCTCAGAAGGAGGGCGCAGCAAGGACTGCAGGGGATGTGGTGGGAGGGCTGCTGGAAATTTTAGGTCGGGCAGGGTCGGATGAGCAGCTATTTGCTGCTGCTGCCCGGGCAGCCAATACAGATTCGTTCTCCCACTGCACCTCCCTGCTCTCTCTCCTGCAGCACCCCACCCGCCCCTCCTCCCGCTCCTGCCGCCTCTGCTCCACTGCTCTGTACGCCCCAGCGTCAACAGCTAAGGGAGCAGCAGCAGCACCACCACCATCCCCGCTGCTACGATTGCCAGCCACAGCAGCAGCCGCAGCAGCAGCAGCAGCGGCAGCAGCAGGAAAGAGATTATCAGTGGAGGTGTGTCTGTGTGGGCACGAGTTTCACAGGGAGTGCTTGCAGCGGCGCCACCGAGACAGCTTCTTCTTTCCACCTCCCCATGAGTGCCCTGACTGTGGTGCCTCTCCCACCCGCCTTGTCCCCTCGCACCTCTCCTCTGCTGCTGCTCCTCCTGCTGCTAATGCCGCAGCTTCTGCTGCACATGCTGCCTCTTCTGGTGCTCTGGCAGTGGGTGGGGCCAGTGGGTTGGCTGCTTCCCTTCTGGAGGTACCAGAGGAGAGGGATGGAGGGAGGATAGGGACAGGAGGGGCGTCTGTAACACCACCGTTGGCTGTAGCTGGTGGGAGCCCTGCTGCCTTATTCTCTGTATCGTCATCCTCGATAAGCGCAAGGGTGAGCGTTAGTGGCATTGGCAGTGATGTGCGCTTGAATATGCATGCATGCACTCGTGCTAAGCATGTGTGTGTGGCATGTCATCATGCCAGCTAAGCATGTGTGGGCTGCACAGCATGTCTTCGTGCCAGCTAAGCATGTGTGGGCGGCACGGCATGTCTTCATGCCAGCTAAGCATGAGTGGGCGGCATGTCATTGCAGCTTGCCATCTTCTTTTCCCTGTTGTCTCTTCCCTAATCTCCGCCTGTTTGCATTTCTTTTCCCAACGACTCTATGCTGACCCATTTGAACCCCTTGGAATGTGCCCTGGCTCCTTCTCCCTCCTCTCTCTGTGCAGCTTCTCACACTAGAAGCATCCAGGAAACAGCAACAACAAGACGAGTCGTGCCGGCTAAAGCGTCTTCACGCCACGTCAGCACCGCGCTCCGCTGCTGCGAGAGGGAGGGGGGAGATGCGTGGGGGGCGAGGGCATGGAAAAGGGGGTAAGGAGCGGTTGAGGGAGCAGACAGGGGAGTTACAGAACAAACGGGAGGAGAGGCTGAGGGCTGCTCGTGAGAGAGAGCAGCAGCAGGGGATCGGCAGGTTTAATCCATTTGGTCGTTTCTTTAGGGGAGGAACTGGGTCGTAAGCATGAAGAAGGTTTCAAGGCTTGTAATGCTGCAATACACGGGTCCAGTTTGAGGGGTCCTCCTCTGGTTTCTTATAATATGCTGAATTTCAGCAATAAAGCGAAAAATTCACTTCTAGAATATGCTGTTCTGCTACCGTATCTTAAAAGGCTTGTAGGTCACACTTTTCTTGCCGAAGACATACATTGTGTATATGTGTTATGAGTGCAATTGAGTGAACGAACGAGAATTGCACTATCGAAGCAAGAGTACAATGAGCGAAGACATGAGCGAAGAATATATAGCGAAACTGCAGTGGTAACGGTAATGGACTGTGGTTGTCGCGCGACAGGCCTGGGACTGAGGTTGGGAAAAGTGTCGAAGTGGAGGCCCGGAGCGCGGGTTACCCGCCGAGCCGTGAGGTCGGGGTGCGACGTGCGAAGGTGGCGGGCGGATTGTCGATGCGAGGGTTGCGAGTGGTAACGGTGCTGACTGTGGTGCTACAGTGATGTACGCGTTGAGCAGGGATGCGAACTAAGGAAAAGGAATTTTCCTTACACTACCCCCCCCCCCCTGAGGTCCTCCTTACGAGAGTGCGTGTACATCCCTGAAGTTTCGGCTCCGCAGGTAATCGGTGAGGACGGGGTGGTTTTCGATTCTGTCCATGGGAACCAAATTGTCTTCGGTGGGTGTACGGTCCTTCCAGCGGAGTAAGAACTTGATCCTTCGGGCTCCTCGAGGGTCGCGAACTCTGTGACTCAGGGTTTTCTCGGGGGTGATGATTGGTTTAGTTGGTGGTCTTGTCATGCTGGCTGGGCGATTGCGTGGCAGTTGGCTCGTGGACGGGACGTAAGGGCGAAGCAAGCTGACGTGGAATGAGGGGCTGACATACCAGTCAGCAGGGAGGAGGAGGTGGGCGGTGACGGGTGTAAGCATGTGGCTTATGCGAAATGGCCCGCAGTATCGGGGGCGGAGTTTCGGGGTGATGGGCAGTCGGAGGTTCTGAGTGTCTAGTAAAACTAAGTCGTCGGGCTGGTAAGTGACAGGTCTGCGGTGGCAGTCGGTGTTGTGTTTAGCGATGATGTTCGATTTTTTTATTACGTCTGTTGCCCGGGTCCGTGCTGCTTGTAATATTTCGGCAAACTGTTGTGCTCGTGGTACTGGGTTGTCGGGAGTCGGGGTCATGGGTACTGTCGGGTCTTGTCCGTAGTTTAGGTAAAATGGTGACTGTTGGGTCGTGGCGAATGGCGAGTTGTTGTACGCGAATTCGATTAGTGGCAGTTGCTGTTCCCACGTGGTCGGGTCGTCACACGTGGCCCTGATGAGCTGTTCCATGGTCTGATTTGTCCGTTCTGTCTGTCCGTCGGTTTCGGGGTGGTATGATGAACTGAACTGCAGTCGCGTGCCGAACTGCTGCCACAGGTTCCGCCAGAAGTTGCTGGTGAATTTCGTGTCGCGGTCGCTGATGATCGCGGCTGGTATCCCGTGCAGTCGAACGACGGTGAAGATGAAGAGGTGTGTTGTTTCTTCGGCTGTGATTGATCTTTTGCAGGCTGCGAAATGTGCCATTTTCGTCAGTCGATCGACGACAACCAGGATCGCGTCGTTCCCACTCGCCCCGGCCGGTAACCCCGTGACGAAGTCCATCGTCACCTGCTGCTAAGCACGCTCTGTCAGAACATTATAGCTTATGCTTTTGTGTAGGCTGTAGTGGGGTAGCCTATATGGGGTACAACCCAATTAGGGTTAGTACTTGTACCCAAGTGTTTCATAATTCATTTCATTCTCGTTTCAATTCTCACATGGTATCGAGCAGGTTCCCTCGTGGGAACTGTTCCTGGGGCCCACAAAGTCGACATTTTTTTTCCTGCCCGGAGCGCACTCAGCCCTAGCCCGAGTCGCGCTCCCCCTTTTCTCGACCCCGTCGCGCCGCCCTAGCGGCCCCGTCGCCTGCCTTGCGGCCCTCGCGCCGCCCTTCCTGGCCCCGACCCGCCGCCCTGCGGCCTCGTTGCCTACCCCGCGGCCATCGCGCCGCCCTTTCCCGGCCCCGATCCGCCGCCCTGCGGCGTCGTCGCCTACCCCGCGGCCCTCGCGCCGCCCTGCGGCCCTGACGCCGCCCTTTACCGGCCCCGGCGCCTACCTTCGGCCCCGACGCCTACCTGTGCGGCCCCGGCGCCTACCTGCTGGCCCCGCCACCTACCAGCGGCCCCGCCACCTACCTGCGGCCCCGCCACCTACCCGCGGCCCCGCCACCTACCTGTGCGGCCCCGCCGCCTACCTGCTGGCCCCGCCACCTACCTGCGGCCCCGCCACCTACCAGCGGCCCCGCCACCTACCTGCGGCCCCGCCACCTACCTGCGGCCCCGCCACCTACCTGTGCGGCCCCGGCGCCTACTTGCGGCCCCGCCACCTACCTGCGGCCCCGCCACCTACCTGCGGCCCCGCCACCTACCTGCGGCCCCGCCACCTACCTGCGGCCCCGCCACCTACCTGCGGCCCCGCCACCTACCAGCAGCCCCGCCACCTATCTGCGGCCCCGCCACCTACCTCAGCGGCCCCGCCGCCTCCTCTCAGCGGCCCCACCGAGCCGCCCAGCAGCCGAGCCGCCCAGCAGCCGAGCCGCCCAGCTGCCGAGCCGCCTAGCAGCCGAGCCGCCCAGCAGCCGAGCCGCCCAGCGGCCGAAGCGAAGGTGTGGGTGCGGTCCGAGAAGAGATCGTAGGCTCTGAATACCAAGTATTACGAGTGCAATTGAGTGAACGAACGAGAATTGCACTATCGAAGCAAGAGTACAATGAGCGAAGACATGAGCGAAGAATATATAGCGAAACTACAGTGGTAACGGTAATGGACTGTGGTTGTCGCGCGACGGGTCTGGGACTGAGGTTGGGAAAAGTGTCGAAGCGGAGGCCCGGAGCGCGGGTTACCCGCCGAGCCGTGAGGTCGGGGTGCGACGTGCGAAGGTGGCGGGCGGATTGTCGATGCGAGGGTTGCGAGTGGTAACGGTGCTGACTGTGGTGCTACAGTGATGTACGCGTTGAGCAGGGATGCGAAGTAAGGAAAAGGAATTTTCCTTACAATACGCCTTGTTGAAAAATGCGTGTAGGCAACGACGTTTAAATCGATCACGAGTAACGACAAGCTACAAGCACCCTAAAATCGCGATGTCACCACATTGGCGCCCTCTTCCCCACAGGTGCGCGTGATCCCCACCCAAGCGTTACTGTTCCTCTTCTTTGTTTGAAGCGGTTGGAGAACAGAAACTCCACGAATCTCGTGCGGGTCGGAATCTGCGACGGGACGGGATTGGTTACTGGGATAAGAAACGTCGGTGGGCGTCACTCGCGTTCTGTAGGACCGTCGGGACGGTCACCGTACTAGCGTACTCAAACCGTTTGAAAAGTTTTATATCGACTAAGTCTGTGGGTATGGGAAATGTGTTCACCCACTCTCCGCTCCAACAAGAGTCTGCTCCAACCTTCACAACACAAATTCAATTCAACACCCCTGCTTCCTCCTCTCCTTATTTCCATACCTCCCTTCCCCATTCTTCCTCATTCCGCCTCCGCTACTCTAGCTAGCTCGCAATTACCACTCCTTTGCAGAAGACGCAATGGCGTCCGGTCCCCCTCCTCCTACCACGGGCGGCATTCAGCCAATGACGCTCCCGGAGGTTCAGGAGAAAATCGACCAGCTGTACGGCGACCGCAACGCGAAGAACCTTGGCGAAGGCCTCGGCAAGGGACTGATGTCCGTTGGTAAGGGCGTGTTCGCCGGCGTCGGAGGACTCATCGTGGCGCCGGTAGCGGGGCTGGTGCAGCAAGGTGGCGTCGGGCTGATCAAAGGAACCATCGCGGGTGTTGCGGGTCTCGTCGTTCTGCCGACCGTTGGAATCGTGCAAGGGGCGCGGCAGCTGAAAGAGGGGATTAAGAACACGCCCGAAGCGATTCGGGAGATGATGAAGAAGGATAAGTGCGAGGAGGAGGCGGATAAAGCGGAGGTGGTGGACGATGCCGACGCGGATAAGCTTAACGAGGAGACGTACTCGGTTGAGCGCGAAACGGTCGAGAAGATCGCGCTCGAGGCGGAAACCGCGAAACCTGCCGTAGCATCCGAAGCCGCTGCGGCGCCGGTGGAAAAGCGGGAGAAGCGGGAGGTGAAGGAGGAGGAGCTTTATATGGTTCTGGAGGTGTCCACCGACGCGACGTCTGTGGAGATTAAGAAGGCGTACTACAAGGTGCGTGGTGAAAGTGGGAATATGTGAAAGTACACCACTTGGGTGGAAAAAAATTGCTAAAAAAACAAACAATTTTTTTTTTTCTCGATTCTCAAAAGCGCCTCCGAACCGCCATGCGTGTTGTACTGAATGTTCGGACGCATTCATTCTCTTCCTCGACCCTTCTTCCGTCTCCGCATTTCAACGCACTGTACTCCCTCTATCTCTCAAACCTTCTATCGCGTCCGCAGCTAGCGCGTACGTGCCATCCCGACAAGGTCCCTGACGACGAAACCGCCAAGGCCAAGTTCCAAGCGGTGGGCGAGGCGTACCAAGTCCTCATGGACCCCGCCAAGCGCGAGAAATACGACCGCTTCGGCCGCGCCGCGCTCGACGATACCTTCATGGATCCCGGCTATTTCTTCACCATGTCCTTCGGCGCGGACAAATTCAAGCCGCTTGTCGGGGAGCTCACTATCGCGTACACAGCGGCGGGGAATCTGACGGTGGAGGAGGTGAAGAAGTGGCAGGTGCGGAGGGAAAAGGAACTCGCGGCGAATCTGGTGAAGCGGCTGGAGCCGTGGATGGCGGGCGACGAGGAGGGGTTTGTGCGCGACGCCGTCGCGCAGGTGGAGGAGCTCAAGGGCGAGGCGTTTGGCGTCGCCTTCCTGCAGTGTATCGGGTATGTGGTGCTTTTCAGCCTGAATCGCGTATGTGGTGTTTTGGGGCAGCGTCGGGTGTGGCCGTGTGACACGTAATCTACCTCCACTTGTGTCGCCGAGTTAGCCCTTCACACCTCGTGTCACGTTTCGTTTCGTCACAAACTTGAGACAATTCCGTCCGCGGGCAGCTGTCTTTTTTTACGGCTACCTGAAAGAAAAAGTGAATGGAAGAAAAAAAAGAAATGAAGCGTAGTTCCAAGATCTTTCCACATCCTCACTGCTGCCCCAACCGCACACTTTCCCCGACCCACGCCTCTCCCCTTCCTTCCCCCCCCAACAAAAAAAACTTTCCCCGGTCCAGGTACACCTACTACACGCGCGCGCAAGTGCTGCTGGGCATGACGGTGATGCTGGGCATTCCGAACTTCGTGAACGCGGTCAAGGAGTCTGGGCACGCGATGAAGACTCGGAACAACGCCATCGGCGCTGCGTTTAAGTGAGTGCGACTTTTCAGAACAGGTGTCTGGACAATCCCTAAGCCACGAACATCATAAATTCTACACTCGTGCCGATATAATGCATTCTACACTCGTGCCGATATACCCCCACAGAAAAAGCCTATTAGTGGATAATCCCAAGCAGTTTCACTACCCATAACCCTTCAACATTTCCCTTCTCAAAATCACAAATTCCCGGCTCACCCCAGAGGCCTTCTGAAACGTCGGAGAACGACCCAGAGAATTACTCCAGCAAGCAGCTTCCAATATTTCTCCATGCTTCACCCCTAAATCCCCGCCGCCCCGCTCTATATCTCGCTAAGCCAAGTTTCCCCATAAGTCCCACCAGGCCACCTTGGCACGTGGCCTGTGATTCCCACCAATCCCCCATCACTTCCCTCCATCCCCCTTCCCCCACCAGGCTAGCGGAGGTGTCGGTTACGGTGGACCCCGGCAATCCCACCAGCGAGCAGCATTCCTCGCATCTCCGTGCTCCTCTGTGCTTATCCATGCTTCCCCGTGCCTTTTCCACCCCAACCCCCCCCCCCCCCTCTTTACCCCCGCAACAGGCTAGCGGAGATGCAGGTCACCGTGGACCCGAGCAAGCCGCCCAGCGAGCAGCAACCAATATTTCTCCGTGATGCGCTATGCTTCTCTGTGCTCCCTTCATTGCCCTTCTCCCCACAAAAACAGGCTAGCGGAGATGCAGGTCACCGTGGACCCGAGCAAGCCGCCCAGCGAGCAGCCCAACATGCCCGAGTTCCTCAACTCCGTCTGGATGGTCAGTGCAAATCCTTGACATCCCTGAATGGTCAGTGCATGCCCCCCCTTGGGCTAGCTCAGTGCTTTCCCTTTCGTCTACCTCAGTGCGTGCATTCCCTTTGCATACCCGAACCGGTATGTGAGCATGCCCGTACCTGGTTTGGTTTGGTTCGACAACCTCTTTCGTTATAGCCACATTCTACCAGTTGACTCGACATACCAGTTCCGCTCACAACAAATCACGTGTGCAGCTTTGCATTACCTGGTTTCTGTTGTGCCACCATTTCTGCATTTCTTGTATATATTTAGCATTTCCCTCTCCCTCACTCGCTCCCTTGCTCCCTCTCTCACTCCCACACTCCCTCCCTCCTTACTTCCTCGCTCAATCCCTTGCTCCCTCACTTCATTGCTCATTTTCTATCCCCTGCTTTCTTTGCATGGCCCCTCCCCTCCCAATTCCTCGTTTCCATTTTCCCACCTGCAACAGATAAGCGTGCTGGACATAGAGAGTACACTGCGTCACGTCGTGGAGCTTGTAGTGAAAGACAAGACTGTGTCTAAGGAGGACAGGAAGAAGAGGGCCAGCGGCATCATGCGCTTGGGGAAAATCTTCCAAGAAGCATAGAAGTTCTTCCCCGAGTAGTGAAATATATTTATTCTTAGGGGCAAAGCAGGAGATTTTCCCAAAGGTGTAGTAGATAATTGAAGGGGCGTTGAAGACAATTTCCAAAACCCAGACACACATGCCTTTTCAAGGCATATATCTGGGAGTAGAAGCAGATAGAAGGGGGTATTTAAAGGGGTAGTGAAAAGAGTGAGAATAAGACAGCTCAATTGGCTTGTGAACAAGGCAGGGTTATCCCCATTCTTGAGTTGTAAGCCGCTAGGGTAACCTGCTTCTGTTCATCCTTCCAGTTGAAAGGGCTGCTAGGGGTAATGAATGAAAGATTTGGTAACAGGGAGGGCTGTGAGGGTGGAACAGGATGCGTGAAAGGGGTGGATGGAGGGAGGGGGGGTGGGGGGCGTGGGCTGTGCTGTGCAGCACTGGCCAAATCACTGGTGTGCAGAAGTTTTGGTAAGTCAGTTTGCAATGGCCCTTTCATTCTCCCCAAAACTGATTCAACCTACAGTACTTACCGCTTGTCCGTTTTCTCAGATTTAGGGCGAACCCAAAAGGTGCTGAAGAGGAGTATGACACAAGGCAAGTGTGGGGCTTCACGCTGTGAGGTATCTGCTGTACGGCACATTGTCACTTAGCATGGCTTTGTGCACTCTAGCAGCGTCATAGCCCTTACCCTAGCACCGTATCTGCAAGAGTTGCCCTCCCTTCTTACGCCGCTGCTAGTATCTTACTTCACCAATGTTGCCTTACATGGAGTAGTCTCCAAACATCAGCTGTCACGGCATAGTCCCGCTCGTGCCGCTTTGAAGCGTCTCAAATCTGCAAAGATTGTTGCTGCTGCTCGTTCTCTTGCGTGTTCTGTATTTGCAACAACGCCTAAGTTTAAAAGCGATATACGCGCTGCAAAACCTTTCCCTACTTAAGGAGTCCTTAATTGCTATTGTTGTTATTGTTGTACGTAAGCTGCTGGACTGCTGCTGCTGCTGCTGCTGCTGACGCTTATAGGCGACGCTTACGCCACCACGGATTACAATACGCGAGATGCAATTTGATGTTACGAATGTAACAGCTCGACGAGTCGCTAAAGGCGTGACGAATTGATAAGTCGACTAGGTACCGTAAACCGACCCTTTCGATGCGCCTCAGAAGGTAGGATACGAATTGAAAATGGTACGTAGATGCGGGAGTGCGAAAGTGGAGTTGTTGCCTGGGTGGCAGACCATTGGATGGATGATGGAAGGAAGAGAATGCTCCAAGTTCGAACTGACGAATTTCCAGCGAACTGCATCCTTGTCGGTTTGTTTCTACAGAGACTGAAGCCCGTGAGACCCACAACGTAATAATGTGCACAACCTAACGCAACAAATACAAAACGGTGGACCATCGGAATCGTCCTTCGGGACATCCGTTAAAATTGGAACGATACAGAGAAGATTAGCATGGCCCCTGCGCAAGGATGACACGCACTAATCGAGAAATGGTCCAAATTTTTTTGGCGATCTGGCGGAGAATGTTGTAACACTTTTTTCTGGCATACACCTCCCAATCTTTCTAAAATCAAGTGGGCGTCACTTCATGTGTACTGTTTCTTGATTTGAACGCTTTCTCTGCACTCGCCACCATGGTATGCTATTGGTGAATCAAATGTCATTCTATGGAGGCGTGTCCCATGACATCCCAGTACACTGCTTTTTATTGGGCGAACTCCCCGAAACATTTGATACCCGACCCCCCTCGACACCACTACACCGCCATGCCTTCCCCGGCCGTGCTTTCTCACTCAACTTCACATCCACATTCGATACAGTCACCCCCTTTATAGGTTGCTCTTGCAACCCTTCTATCTTCACAACCCGATCGATATTATCTCCTGTAAGCCCATCTACAGTAATGTCTTGGATAATTGGCAGTGCATGAGGGTCGAACCCCGGGGGATCCCCGTGACCAAAGAACGAGGTGATGGTGAAAGCTACTTTCACATCCTGTACATAAGTGCGAACGAATGAAACACTGTAGAGGGGATGCAAGGGGTCGGGTGGCACGAAGGGTAGAGAGAGAGAAGGGCAGAGAGAGCAGGGATGCCACATGGCAACAGGGAGGTGATGGTGAAAGCTGCTTTGACATCTTGTACATAAGTGCAAATGAATGAAACGCAGCCATTGGGATGGAGGGTGGGCACAAGGGATTGGGAGAGGGAAAGAGGTGATGGTAAAGGCTACTCTCACCTCACATCCTGTACGCAGGTGCGAACGAGTACAAAATTGTGACGGGAAGCAAGGGGGCGGGTGGCACAAAGGGCAGAGAGAGCAGGGATGCCACAGAGCAAGAGGGGTGATGGTGAACGCGATTTTCACATCCTGTACATAAGTGTGAATGAATGAAACACTGTAGACGGTAAGCAAGGGGGTGGGTGAGAGAAGGGCGGGTGGCACAAGGAAAGGTTGAGGGGAGGGAGGATAGAATAGAACAGGGGATGGAAGTTGCAAACACGAAGGAATGGCACCACCCCCCCCCCCCCCCCCCTCCCCCCCCCCTTCCTGCATGGCAACAACCATGCAGGGAGTCTCACTTCTTAACGAACCCGCCTCGGCCGGCAGCGGATTTGATTCTGATGCCCACGTCAGCCCCGAGGACACGGCAGTCCTCAAACCTCACTCTCTGCACGCCTCCACTCATCTCACTGCCGATCGAGAGGCCCACGCCGCCACTGCCAGGTGGCACCTGTTCATTCGTGTGTGCGCGTGAGTGGGGGGGGAAAGAAGAAGCACTTGGATCAATGTTACAGAGTTCTCGCACCCTCTGCACGCCACCACTCATCTCGCTGCCAATCGAGAGACCCACGCCGCCACTGCCAGGAAGCACCTGCTCTCTTTGCACCCCAACACTCATCTCTTGCTGCCAATTGAAAGGCCCATGCAACCACTTTTTACTGGTACCTGCTCGGTTGAGGGTGCATGAGAAGGTGCAAAGCAGGGCTCTTACTAGAATTCTCGCCCTTTTGCACACCACTGCTCATCTCACTACTGATTCACAAATCCATCTGACCACTGCCAACAGGACCTGCTCCTTGAACGGCACTAGTCCCTCCTGCTCCTCCTGACTCCCCCAAGCAGACTCTGCTTTCTGAAAGGTAGCCCGAGCTTCACCTTTGAGAACTCCCAAAAGTGATTCGAGTATTGGGAGTTGTGCTGTTTTGGAGCCCGAGCTCCAAAACAGCACAACTCTACATCCACAGTCAAGAGTAATTATGCTTTTAGCCCGCCCTGACAACAGAGGGGACAAGGGTGGGCATTGTACCCATGGGCATTGGAACCACCATTAGTTGAATATCTATGTAGAGGGATAGAGGGAAAGAGGTAGAGGAGGAGAGGGAGAGGGAGAGAGAGCAGCAGCACCCACCTGCACGGTGACTCGGCGCACTGTGATGTCAGCAGAGGGTGCAGGCGGGTGGGCGTTGTACCCGTACTGGTCCCATCCACTCTTTATTGCCACAGCGTCATCTCCCGTGCTGACGTGGCAGTCCTCTATAAGCACATGCGTGCTGGAGTCTGGACATATGGGAGGGAGGGAAAGGGTATGAAATGAGCTGACTTTGTAGTCGACTCACAAGGGTATGAAACGATGAATGTGATAGCCTGATACACTCCCCTGCTGGTGTGTCACATCTCTGTAATAACATGCTGATGTGGCAAGTCTCCGAGCACACGATGATGTGTCAGATCTTTATCAGCACGCGCTGACATGGCAGTTCTTAATTTGCCATCCAAACATGGCTAAATCGCTAAGAGAACATAAGGAGAGGAGAGAGCAGAGGGAAGAGATAAATGAGAAGAGAGAATATACACAAAGGAGGGGAGGGGATGCAAGAACAATCTCTCTCACCAGGGTCAATGCCGTCAGTCTGCCTAACATTGCTGGGAGCGATGTGATGAAAGGAGCGAGGTGGTAGAAGTGAGACGAGAGAAGAGAGAGGATGTGGCACGAGCCACTCACCTGGGTCAATCCCGTCCGTCTGTCTGACGTTGCTGGGGCAAGAGATGGTGAGATGGCGGAAGGAGAGGCGGGAGGAGTAGAGGGGGCGGATGAACCAGAAGGGCGCGTTGACCAGCGTCAAATGGGACACTGCCACGTGGCAGCTGCTCTGGATCTCTATCACGTGGGGTCGCATGTGGTGCAGGCTCTTCCTGTCCATGGCTTCCCACCACGGCCTGCCGTTGCCGTCAATCGTCCCGTTCTCTCCTGTAAAAGATAAGTGAAGGGGTTGAGATAAAGGCAGCTTCTAAGTCCACGCAAAGCAAAGGCAGACAAGTGGTGCAGGCTCTTCCTCATTGCTTCCCACCACGGCCTCCCATTGCCGTCAATCGTCCCGTTCTCTCCTGGCAGATTTTGAGGCAAAGGCAGATGAGTCGACTCAAACGGAATGTGGTGCAGGCTCTTCCTCATTGCCTCCCACCACAACCTGCCGTTGCCGACGATTGTCCCGTTCTTTCCTGTAAAGAGAAGAAGTCGAAATAGAGACGATGACGAAACGAATGATGTCACTGCCTTCCCTCCATGACACCCCACTATGGCAAGCCGCCAATGAGACTATTGCACACTACTACGATATCATTCCTGTAGCACGAGCCTTGCTTTGAGACGTCTCAAAACACTACTACGATATCATTCCTGTAGCACGAGCCTTGCTTTGAGACGTCTCAAAACACTACTACGATATCATTCCTGTAGCACGAGCCTTGCTTTGAGACGTCTCAAAACACTACTACGATATCATTCCTGTAGCACGAGCCTTGCTTTGAGACGTCTCAAAACACTACTACGATATCATTCCTGTAGCACGAGCCTTGCTTTGAGACGTCTCAAAACACTACTACGATATCATTCCTGTAGCACGAGCCTTGCTTTGAGACGTCTCAAAACACTACTACGATATCATTCCTGTAGCACGAGCCTTGCTTTGAGACGTCTCAAAACACTACTACGATATCATTCCTGTAGCACGAGCCTTGCTTTGAGACGTCTCAAAACACTACTACGATATCATTCCTGTAGCACGAGCCTTGCTTTGAGACGTCTCAAAACACTACTACGATATCATTCCTGTAGCACGAGCCTTGCTTTGAGACGTCTCAAAACACTACTACGATATCATTCCTGTAGCACGAGCCTTGCTTTGAGACGTCTAAAAACACTACTACGATATCATTCCTGTAGCACGAGCCTTGCTTTGAGACGTCTCAAAACACTACTACGATATCATTCCTGTAGCACGAGCCTTGCTTTGAGACGTCTCAAAACACTACTACGATATCATTCCTGTAGCACGAGCCTTGCTTTGAGACGTCTCAAAACACTACTACGATATCATTCCTGTAGCACGAGCCTTGCTTTGAGACGTCTCAAAACACTACTACGATATCATTCCTGTAGCACGAGCCTTGCTTTGAGACGTCTCAAAACACTACTACGATATCATTCCTGTAGCACGAGCCTTGCTTTGAGACGTCTCAAAACACTACTACGATATCATTCCTGTAGCACGAGCCTTGCTTTGAGACGTCTCAAAACACTACTACGATATCATTCCTGTAGCACGAGCCTTGCTTTGAGACGTCTCAAAACACTACTACGATATCATTCCTGTAGCACGAGCCTTGCTTTGAGACGTCTCAAAACACTACTACGATATCATTCCTGTAGCACGAGCCTTGGTGGCGAGAGCACCAGCGCTGGAAATCAACAGCCTTGGGTAGAGCAACCACTATTCCCACAGAACAGGACAATCACTGACCCGTTATAAGCACATCTGTGACGTTGTAAGCGAGTATGAGGCTGTGGTGCCGCGGCCCAGGGTCCAGCTCTCGCCCTGGCCCGTACGTTGGGGGTTGCGGCACCAAAGGGTACTCGGGCATGTGCTGGGACGGGAAAAAAGGGGGGGCGTGCAGGGTCAGTCAGGCGCACATCGTGGTGACATGGCCCAGGGTCTAGCTTTCGCCCTGGCCCGTATGCTGGAGGTTGTGGGGGCTGCGGCACCAGTAGGTAGTCGGACATGTGCTGGGAATGGGGGAGAAAGGGGGGGCATGCCCCCGTGTCAGGCGCCCAGGGGAAAAAAAAGGGGGGGAAGGAAGGGGAATCAGTCAGGTGCACATCGTGGTGACGTGGCCCAGGGTCTAGCTTTCGCCCTGGCCTGTTTGTTGGGGGCTGCGGCGCCCAAGGGTAGTTGGGCATGTGCTGGGAATGGGGGAGAAAAGGGGGCATGCAGGGTGCGAACGAGTTGTGCAGGTGCTATGCGATGAATTGCGGTGCAATGCAGTGTAGGGGTACTGCACTGTTTGAAAGACTTACAGGGCTGGCCAGTAGAAGCGAAGTCATGTTATTGGTGAGGTTGAAGAAAATGTCATGCAATGCAGCGGTGTAATGCGGTGAAGTGTGGTGGAATGACTTACAGGGCTGGCCAGTAAGGTTGCGCCTTGCTCCAGAAACAGAGTCATGTGACTGGTGAGGTTGAAAGGACCAGTCAGCCAGGTGCCACGTGGCACCACCAGCATGGCGCCCAGTGTCACGTCAGCGTCACCCCCGCCCTCCACTGATTGGGCGGCAACCAGCGACTGTACTGCACTGATAGCTGCTCGAAAGGCGGCCGTGTTGTCAGTGGTACCGTCCGGTACTGCGTTGAATGATGCTAGGCTGAGACTGTTGGTTTAGCAGGAGGCCGAAGTGGGGGTGAGGAGAGAGTAAGGGGAGTATGAGATGAGTTGGAATGCGGCTGGTTACCAGCTGGTGTTGTCAGTGGTGCCATCCGGTACTGCGTTGAAGGATGCTAGGCTGAGACTGTCGGGTATGGGGTTGGGGGTGGCATAGGAGAGAGAAGGGGCGGAGTGACAGCGATTGAGCGGAAGGGGTGAGAGCGACTGACTGGAATGCGGCAGTGTTGTCAGTGGTGCCATCTGGTATTGCGTTGAAGGATGCTAGGCTGAGACTGTTGTGTAGGGAGGGGGAAGGAGGGGGGATAGGAGCGATTTGAGAGGCAGAGAAGGGAGTGAGGGGCAGTGCCATGAGTTGAAACGTGGCAGTGTTATCAGTGGTGCTGTCCGGTAGTGCGTTGAACGATGCTAGGCTGAGACTGTTGGGGAGGGCATAGGAGGGATAAGAGGCGGAATGACAGGGATTTGTGTGGGTAGGGGGCGAAAGGGAGCGACTGGAGTGCGGCAGTGTTGTCAGTGATTCCGTCCGGTACTGCGTTGAAGGATGCTAGGCTGAGACTGTTTATTTTGTGGGGGGGAGACAGCGGACAGAGGGGAAAGGAGTGAGAGCGAGCGGCTGGAAGGCAGGAGTGTTGTCAGTGATTCCGTCCGGTGCTGCGTTGAAGGATGCTAGGCTGAGACTAATTTCTTTTTGGGAAGGGATAGGAGAGAGTAAGGAAAGGAGTGTGAGTAAGGAGAAGGAGAGGCTGAGGCTGTGGGGGATGGGGCCTTCAAGTCATGGCGTGACAATGGCACGTGCAGGAATGCCGCAACTGGGATGTTGCGGCGCGCTTGCTGCTGTCACCCGCTGCTCTCGAGCTAGCAAAGCGAGCGAAGGAAGGCTCAGAGAGAGTGGTGGGGGTGGAAAGAACTAGGCGACGCGGGACGGCGGGGATGGGAGACGACGATCCGCATCTCACGTTTCTGCTCGACGGTGGATCAGCGGCGCGTTTCCCGCAGATTCCGCGCATTTTGGAATAAAAACGGACACGCGATTCGATCCTGGCCGTTGATCCTGTCTTTGACCAGATTCGTCATTAGCTGATTGCGACGATTGCGAGCTGTCTGTCGATCCGAACGATGCAGGCTGATCGGTACGACCGATCCCATCCACCGTTACACTCTTTGTACGGCCCAGATCGATTTCCCCGTGATTACCGCCAAACCGAGCGGCACGATTTACGGCAGCAGCTGACAAGATCTTCGTGGAAAGATCTACACTAGCTGGATTCGAAGCTGACGTGGCCGTTACGTGGTCGTGGATTGGAGGGAGAGAGGAGAACGATACGGGGCCGAGAATGACAAGAGCGGCGAGCGACGCGAGTGCGACGATCCAACGCGACGATCTCTGCGACGGGGCTGCCATCGCCGCTGCGACACATGTCTCGGCTTTCTGGACCGCGTCGTGCTGTGCACCGTCAGATTGATCGCGGGCTTTGGCTGGGCTTGCTCGCAATTGGGCGTCCATTTCAGGCCCCCCTTTGGATTCCTCGAAACAAGTATATGGATCCTCAAAATTTAAACACTTGTTGCACATGCAATTGGACAATACCAAGGCTTGCGATAAGACAACCTCAAGCCTTGCACCCCAAACCAAAAACTTGATCCAGATTAATATATTTCCGTCAGAGCTATAATATACATTGCGTCAGTGACAGCATATTGGTTATATGGCAAACGGATCAAAGGTCTAAACAATTTCCTTCTTATGTCAGACGACGTGTCATGCGCCGCCTGCCTCGGAAGGCAGTCACCAGACTATCAGAAGTGAAGTCGATAGGCGAACATTAACTCCATGATTTGAGGAAGACAGCTCCAGCATGCGATGACGAAGTTACGGACGATGAGGAGTCGTCCAGATAACAGCCACGCGGCAGGCTGCTATTCAATCCCTGAGACCAAACAACATTAGATACTCCCCGGGCCGCGACAAAGGGAGCCGTTAGTATTTTCACGGACGTCGTCTGTTACTCGCACGCCGCGACGAAGCGGACCGAGCTTCTCCCGTCGCCCAGAAAGCCGCATTCCGCCCCCGCGAAGTTCAAAACGCGAGAAATCCGCTTCGCCGCGGCGCCTGCGCCGGCGCATCGGCCGGCGCCGCGGCCGTTCCGCCGCTTCCGTGGCGTCGGAGGCGGGCACGCCGCCGGATGCTGCGGGAGCTGGTACTCTGTGCCACGTGGCGTGCTCTGCACGTCGGAGCCATCCTCTCGTGTTGCCTTTGCTAACGGGGACCAACACGCATTCGCCGCAACTGAAACTTCTGCTGCCGTCGCGGCAGTTACGCAGCTGGTTGCGGCCGCGGCGACTTCGGCGGCGTTCGCGGCGGTCGCGGCGGCAGCGGAGGCATTTGTAATAGTACTAGCAGGTTTAAATGTAGTAAAACCGTTTCCCGCCACGTTCATTCCGCGATCTCCGGTGGCGGTGAGAACTCCATCATTTGGCTTCCGAAGGCCACGCGCTGCGAGCGGCATTGTTGTTGCTCCTTTGGAGCCAACAGGGCAATTAACGAACTTCCGCTTCGATATTAGTCGACAGTAGTCGCGCCGATAGCGCAGTCACGACACAGAGATGGCCAGTCCGTCTGGAAAACCTCGTAGGAGAGAGTCACG